TTCTATAATCTTCCTCGATGTGCTCCAAGCAGCGTCTGATATTTTTTTCGTGTAATAACAGATTTACATATTTACTACAGGCCATAAAACCAAAGAGAAGCAGAGGAATCGTTTGGAATCTAATACGTGTTCTCTTTTCAATCATCCAGAAAAAGATTCCGGGGAGCAAAACGCAATAGAGAAGAATGTTACAGATCAAGATCAAGAAGTACCTCCAAACTTTCGCGCCGATAGAGTTTTTTTTATTGTTAGACGGCCAAATTCCAAGTAGGCCTAAAACGTTTCGTGTCAAATGTGTGATGTAAATTATGTCATCTTTATAATACATATTGCGGAACATTTTCTTGTTAATCCTGTGTGAAACCTTTGCGCAGACCGGATAGTGACTGATCGCTGCAAATACGAACTGCTAATAAAGTAAATTCGTTGTCCGCTTGCGCTTGCGCGCATTAAAGATTAAAAGAGTTGCGTGAATAGAAGGATTTGAACGTAGGAGATTGTCCAAGTTTTGTTCACCGAGGGTTGAGATTGCTTTCCCAGAATATGAATTCCATTTGTCAATATATTTTTCAAGAAGCTAAGAATAACAATTGGCTTCAACTTTCTTTCCTGTGTAATGTAAATCTAAAACTCATGGTTATATCCGTTGGACATTGACCATCGACAATAGTTCCGATTACATAATACGGTAGTAATATTTCGATTTGCTTAAAGATTAATATATATAAAAGCTATAGTGATTTTTCTAACGTGATAATTGTGACAACGTCAACGAATTAAATATAGTTAAAAAATATTTATATATTTTTATCTTATTATATCCTATGACAACTATTTGGTGAAAGAAAATAAACTTATTAAACTTGTAGTTGTGTGTGAAAGGCTAAAAATATTAGATCAATGAAAAGTTCATGCTCGCAATTTATTATTCAAAATTAATAATAAATCAAACATGAACTTTTGTATTAATCTAATAAAAACATTCGTTTTGATATATACCGATTACGTTTTCCGATTTTCTGCAAAATATAATCACGTTTAACTGTATTAATGTCTCTGTTGCAACTTGCAACTGAAAAGCAACATCTGGCGAATGTATAATGTACGCATATAAACTTTTGAAGTGACTGCTTGCAAACATATTTGTGCTTTTCTTTGTAAGGTAAAAAAAGTTATCTTGTTGGAAGCAATGAAAAGGTTGTCGTAAAGAAAACAGATAATAGCAGTGTATATAAATAATAAAACGCATTTTTGACATGGCAGAGTATTTGTAGAAAAATAAATGTATTCACTATGTACAATCATTACGTTAAACAATAAACAATATCTTTTTGTTGTTATCATAGTGATTATTTGTTTTACGTATACAATGCATTCAGACACGTTTGTCTACATTCTGTCGAATTTTTGTTTTTTGACTGCTCATGTCACGCACAATATGATATTGTCGGTACGATGTGTAGCATACATAGATTATAATTTCCAAAGACCAAACGTTGCTATTTGATTAACAGCTTTTCATTATAAATATTATATGCTTCACTTCAACCTATTCGCGAGTTACAATCGCAAACAGGAATCAAATTTAAAGTAGTATTAGAGTTTCATAGATAATATTGAAAAATGTGATAGTAAAAAATATACAATTATGTTTTAGAATTTTTACTTCTTATTTTTTAAGAAATGCTCTTATTCATCTTAAAATAAAAGTATATTATGATTTATATAAATTTATACGAAATAAAATAATAATTCCACTTAACTAATTATCGAACTGCTTTATATGAAAATTTAATGTAAAATCGCACTGAAAAACAAAAATTTCTTACACATATCTTTACATACAATATTAGAAGAAATATGCTAAAAGTGCGCGCGTGCCAGTTGTTCCATCTTTGAATAATATATAGTATGGTAATTTATTTACAGGATTAGATAAATAAAAGAATAAAAGAGTAAAAGCATAAGAGAATGATAGAGTAAGACAGTAAGCTGAAGTTTAGGTGGAACAATCAAACAATGCAACCTAAATCAAGAATATTTATATAAATATATATATGTACATCATAGTAAACTTTTGTATTTGACACATCAATATCACGATTATATACGATACGATATTACCATTACAATTCGTAGCTGTAATTTTGATGAAAAGGAATATAAAGCCGAAACATTTAGCCGGCTACATTTAAGAGCATGTTAAAATATGTTACAGCTGTCTTTACGACCTGAAAAACGAGCATAATATTTTATAGTTGTTACTTCGTGTTTTCATTTAATTAGTTCGATAAAGTGAATAAAAAAATTGTTTAATTGATTATTATAGTACGTAATAATAATATATAATAATCATTTAATAACATATTTAATTGTTGATGTTAGAATAACATATTTAATTGTTGATGTTGTTACTTTCTGAAGAAATTAATTAGTGAATGCTCTTAATATATATTCTTACATCACCGTATGTTCTAAATGATAGATCCATGATTTTCCCAGCAGTGATCTTGGTGGGCATATTGGACATAATTATCACTAGTACAATCCCACGTGCTTTCTTATCCGGAAGTCGATACCACTCGAGCTCGCAAGATGTACTAGCTACTCTTTCTGCCTATTATTAATATTATCAAGTATGTGTAGCAAAAAAATAAGCAGATTTTAAAAATTAAGTATTACCTAATATTTTTTATAAAAATATTTTCAACAATTCCTTCTCAAATATTATTTTATATAAACAAAAATATAGCATTATTAGCATTATAGCAGAAACGTTATCACTTATCATTATTATTCTACATGTAATTGTTGTATACATATATACGAATATATATCATCACATGATATATCAAAAGCAAAAGATATGAATGATATACCTGAACGGTAAGTTGTTCACCAGTGTAACAAAACATGAACATATTTATCATCAGAGATGTAAGGGTTATAACATAAGAGCACATAGCTATCGAATTGCTATTTTCCCATTCCTATAAAGGTTACATTATTGGAGGAAACATTCTTTTCTTTCGCTATATTATTAAAACGTTTAGATATGTATAAATTAACGAACCATTATTATAAAATATCCCAGAATGCAGACTATCATTGTACACCCCATTAATTCTATTAAACATGCCTGTTGTAGAGTATTTTCTACTAATTGCAAAAAACTGTCGACGGCATCAAATCATCATATTTGAAAAATGAGAAAATAATACTAGATATATTCTGCACGTATATGATGTTATAATTACCAATTAACAAATAATCAATTATTACATAAGTTGCGTGATGTAATACACACGTGAGTTTGATGACAATAAAAACATTATAATTCTTACCTTCGAATTCTTATTTGATGTTCAACCATTTTAGCCAATTTCTTATCCACTTCCTGTTTTTCCTGCCATTGATCCTCGACGAGATTTCTCATCAAATCTACTAAAATCCTTAATTGGCCACAAGCATGCATCACGAAAACGGCTGCGAGACCACATAAAGCTATTGTTATTGAATAGGTAACTATCCCCGATAAAAACTGCATTGCAAAGATCAGCTCGTAAGCGGGGCTGACTTGTATATCGAATGAAAAGAAGTAAGCCGGACAAGGCAGTGGTTTGATTGTGATATTTTGTGCAGTGATAATTTTTCCTTTGGCAAATGGTAGTATCGATCGAAAGGAAAGTCCGCTGCCGTACATAAAGACTGCACAAAGTGTGACCAGGCGTCTTCCTATCTTCGCGGATTCAATCATAGTATCTCGTCTCGCTGCACTGGTAACAATCCTCCAATCTTCTTCGATATGTTTCAAGCATCGTTTGATATTTTTCTCACGGAATACCAAATTGCTATATTTACCACTGGCCATGAAACCGTAAAAAAGTAAAGGGATCGTTTGGACTCTGACGCGCGTTCTCTTCTCAATCATCCAGAACAAGGCACCGGGAATCAGGACGCAGTAGAGAAGAATGTAAGAGATCGAGATTAAGAAGTACTTCCAAATTTTTTCACTAATAGTTATTTTCCTATTGTAATTCGGCCAGACTCCAAGTAGGCTCAGAACATTCCGTGTCAATTGGGTGATATAAATCATGTCATCTTTGTAGTACTCGTTGTGCAGCATTCTTTTGTCGATCCTATATGAAATCTTTATACAAACTGAATGGAAACTGATAGCTACAAATAAAAACTATACATAAAGTAAATTCATGTTCGCTTGCGCTTGCGCATCTTAAAAATTAATATGTTGCATGAAAGAGAGGGTGTTTGCAAGCAGAGAGAGTTTCCAAGTCAAAACTTACCGAGGGTCGAGATTGCTTTCCATGAATAGTTCTTCCATTCGTCAACGTGTACATTTGTTTTCAAAGAAATGAGAATAATCGATTTGATGAATTCAATTTTTCTTCCTGTACTAAAACTGATGTTGCTGGACATTGACCGCTAGCAATAGTATCAACTACAATACATACTACAGAATACTTCGGTTTACTCGGAGATCATTGCATAATAATATTGTTTCTGTCATGATAGTGTCATCGTATTTCTAATGATACGATTCTGACAATGTCAATGAATTAAATAAAAGTAAAATTATGTTTACATTCTTTTCGTTTTATTATATTCTACGATAACTATTTGGAGCAGAAAAATAAACCTGTTAAACTTGTAGTCGTGTGAGAAACAGAAAATGAAAACGGCAAATCATTCCATGGAAGATATTTCGTTGTGCCGACATCGATCAAGTTTTCTGATTCTTTGGAAAATAATTAAGTTTGATTCTGTTGATGTTACAACTTGCGTTCCTCGAAGGTTCAATGTTAGTGAGTAAAAGTTCTTATATAAACGTCAGTACGTATTTTAACTTTTCTATCTTTTTCTTTTTTCTTCAACGCTTACTAATAAAAAATTATACCGTTTGAGGAATTATGTGCCTTTGCTATTTTTATTTAAAAGTTACATATTTCTTTGAAGACTACGTTTATGCATCTACTGACTATTTAGCCAATAACAGAGCGTAAAAGATTTAAATATGTTACGGCCGTTTTAACGACCTAAAATGTAACGAATTTTTGTAAAAACATAGCTTTTATTTTTCAATATATTGTTACTTACGTTGCCAAATGTCTTGAAGGAAAGATCAAAATACTTTCCTCCTTTAACTTTTGTCGGAGAATTTGACATGAGCATGATTAATATCAACGATCGCGCTTTCGCATCAGGAAGACGATACCATTCCATCGTACATGCTGTTAATGCCACCTTTTCTCCCTAATTTAACAATTATACAAAACAGATTATTAGTAAAAAAAATGATGCATTAATTAATAAATATTAATTATTATTTCGATAATGTAAATAACCCACCTTCGCCGAAAGTTGTTCGCCAATGAAGCAAAAAATAAAAATGTTGAAACTAATCGATGTGAGTCCAACCAGATACGAACATAGAGCTACGGCATTGTTATCCTCCCATTCCTGTAAATTACGATTATATTAATTTTTGTAATACTCGCTAAGTCTGTGTGAGTTTTACATATTTTACATATCCTTAATTTTTCAAAATCACTGAAATTGTCGCTACTTATTCATTTTATGCGCACCATGATAACAAAATATCCTAAGAGACATACAATTATGGTGCATCCCATAATTTCCATTAAACTTGTATATTGTATGGTGTTCTGCACTAATTGAAGGAAACTAAAATGATCGTATAGAAAAAAGATAAATTTTGTTTTTTCAAAATTGCTTATAATTAAAAAAAGGAATATATTAATTGTATAATAATTAAGGTTCTCTATTTATACATAAAAATAGAATTTTTACACAAAGATAAAAACTAATCAATAATTAAGTATATTTGTAAGGAATCTTATTTATTGAACAATTCATTGTATATATGTATTAATGACAACGTCTATTTTACATACAGATTTCAATTAAAACAATAAAATATTTAAAAACGCAAATTCACTAAAGATAGTTGTAAAATAAATTTTACTTTCGTATTTTGATCTGATGCTTTACAATAGTGGTCAGTCTTTCATTCATATTTTTAAGTTCACGTTCATTTATTAGATTATTCATCAAGACCATCAGTATGTCCAACTGTGCGCAAATGTGCATCACGAAGAGACCCGCAAGACCGCATACTGCCGTTGTGACCGTGCATTTCACGAATCCGGAGAAGAACTGCATAAGGAATACGATCTCGTAAGCGGGGCTAAGCTGCACATCGAATAGAACAAAATAAGTTGGGCATGGTAGGTGTCTGATTGTGAAATTCTGTTTGGTAACGATTTTCCCGGCGGACAACGGTATAATTGTCCGAAAGGACACTCCAGTGGAGTACATAAATATAGCACATATTATCAGCAAACGCCTGCTAGTTCTAGCCTTATCGATCATCACATTACGATCGTGTAAGTTGACTATTTGCCAATCGTCCTCAACTTGCGCGAGGCAGTTTCTCATTTGATTCCTTTTGATCAGCAGCTGGCCGTATTTGGCCATCGCTAACATCGTAAAAATCACAGTGGCGACGACTTTCAACCTGGCACGGGTCTCTCTCTGCACGATGGCCATGTAGAGAATCGCCGGAACCAACTCGCAGATGAGGAGGATGTAGGAGATGAGGATCACAGCGACGTTCTCGAGGGTCTCCGGAAGCCAGGACTTCGTACGTGCGTACGGCCAGATACCCAGCAGACGAAAGACAAAGCGGCTCAGTTTGAAAACATAATCTATATCGCGTTTATAATTTTTGTTGGAGAACATTTTTTCTATTAGACCGTGTACAAGCCACAGGTGGTGAAACGATGCGCGTTCACTCGCCACTGATCGCGGTTGATGCGCTATTCGATTTGGAGGGAACTCGCGACTCGTGTGCGCTTGCGTGTTGAAACAATCTTTTAAAGCCACGTCGAACAAATCGCTAACATTGTAGAAACTTTAAAAAAGTTTTTTTACTGTGCGCAGGAAATATTTCCCGGAAATTATGAAAGGGTTGAGGATCCGAGAAAAAAAAGTTTACTTATAATATCGATACGATAAGTTTTACAATTTTCCGTAAGAAATGTATAAACAAATATTATTAGAGATATAGAAAGATAGATATTCATGATGTATCAGTATTTTTTTGTATTCCTGTACTAATTATAAGTAATAGTCATTTATTTTGTTATATCTAATTTATATTTCTTATATAATAGTAAATATCTGTGGGAAACATATGTTTGTGTCCATGTATATTATAGTTCTAATGATATTATACGCATTAAATATTCAATTATTTTTTATAATTAATACTATTTACTGTCATTAACATTGATAATAAATTTGTCATATTAAAATATATAATATAAATATGTTTATTTCAAAAAGAAATTTATATATTGCTTATTCCAGTTTGCCATTTAGTCAGTAAGTTGTCGAAGTATGTTAAGATAAATTACAGCAGATTTAATTACCTGAAACAATTTCTTAAATCCTTTAAGCAAGCCAATAACTAAGGGCGGTATTCATAGTCCGTTCTTATTTCAAGATCGTCTTAAGTAATGTCTTAAAAGATGCTAATGCAGTTGTCTGATTGGTTCATGACACCTCAAAACTGAACTTAAGATGGTTTTGAATATAAGAACTAACTATGAATACCGGCCTAACTCTTAATCATAGATAATCATATTGCTTACATCACCGAATGTTTTGAAGGATAGATCAATGAATTTTCCAGCGGTAATTCGTGGTGGAATATTCGAAGAGGCTATCACTAATATCATATCTCGCGCCACATTTTTCGGAAGACGGTACCAGTCAAGCGTGCAAGTAATCAAACCGACCTCTTCTGCCTATCGCGAACAATCATGAGTACCTCATATATAAAAAATAGTAAATGTAAGTTTTTATTATAAATTGGTATTACTCATCTTAAAAGATATAAAATAGTTACGAATTACCTGCATCGTTATATATTCTCCAATATAACACAAAATAAAAATGTTAATAATGACAGATGTGAGAGCTGTTACGTACGTACAGAGGGCCGGTAGGTTCCTGTTGTCCCATTCCTGAGAATAAAATAATTTGTTTGTACTCTGTCACGACACGCATTGCGCTTAAACACAATAAATTTGCTTGCATTATTTTTCGTACCCCAATTATGCAATATCCGGTAAGACATATCATCGTGGTGCACCCCACTATTTCGACTAAGCTACTGTAGCGCAAAACATTCTCCACCAGTTGCAAAAAACTAAAATGTATTCATGAAGCATTCAATGCAGTACAGTTTGTAACAAAAGAAATATCAATTTGTTGGGAAAATATATAAATATATAAAATATAATATAAATATATAAAATTTCTCGACAATTTATCATTAATGATAATATTTAATATCAATTATGAAGCTATAGATATTCATAGAATGATTTTATGGCCCATATTCATAATTGGTTTTTATTTTAAGCTCGTCTTAAGCTATTAATACAGCTCTGTATTAGTTAATGATATTTTAAGACTATGTTTAAGATGGCTTTAAATATAAGAATCGAAGACCGATCACAGAACCGTATCAGCATCGTAAGTCATTACTAAAATTCTACAAATAAGAATGGATATGAATACTGATTTATATCTTTGAGCCTATTTATTCCATGTCCGATTTACGTCGACAAAGAAATATTTAAAACATTCAGAAAAATGATAAAGAAAGTACTTACTTTTGTATTCTTATTTGATGTTCAACTATAACTGCCAGCTTCGCGCTGATGTTATGTTGCCCAAACTCATTCTCAACGACGAGGTCTTCCATCTGTCGCATAAGGATCTCCATTTGCGCGCACGCATGCATCACGAAGACAGCGGCGAGACCGCAAATCGCCACCGTGATCGTGTACATGACAAAACCACAAAGGACTTGCTGGAGAAACACCATCTCGTAGGCAGGACTGCTCTGCGGATCGAAGAAAACGTAATAACCGGGGCAAGAGAAGGGTCTAATCGTGGTATTCTCATCGATAATGATACTTCCTCTTGACAGCGGTACTATCGTATTGTAAGACAATCCACCGCAATACATAAACGTGCAGCACAAGGTGAACAATCGTCTTCCATTACTGGCTTTGCTCAGCATCATTTCTCGGGCATCATTGACGACTACTGTTCCCCAATCTTCCTTGATGTGCCGCAGGCAACTTCTAATATCGTATTCATGAATAAGTAAAGTACTATATTTAGCGATTGCCATGATTGAGTACATAATCGGTGGCATCATTTTCACTTTCTCGCTCGGTTCATCATCAACAACTGCGTAATAAAGAATACCCGGTACCATGTCGCAATGAAGAAGCAGATAACAGACGATTATGAGAAAAATATTTATAATCTTCTCAACTATGTTTGGCTGTCTGTCAATCGTCGGCCAAATCCCGAGCATGCGAAGTACAACGTGACTTTGTTCGAAAACGTATTTTACGTCTGTCTCTTGATATTCATTAGGGATCATTCTGGCGGTATTATTGCACGATATAACTTTTATGATTAAAAATAATTTCGATAGTGTTAAAACGACTGAAAATTCTATAATCGCGACAAAGAAAATCAATGTAAAGAATCGAAATATTTTAAATTAATTGATAGTGTTAAAAATTGAGATACATGGTATATGTTCAGGTTCAGGTTTGCATAAGATTTAATGTTACTGATCACAGCTTCGTGCATATCAGGTATGAAGTAAACTTTCGGACGACGAGAGTGCGCCTGCGTGCTTTAAAAATTAAGAAGATACATGTAAGGGTTGTAAGACAGTGAACGAAAAGAAGTTTAACGATTGATTTTGCACACAATGTTTTTCAATATGTTCGCGTGACAGTACGTATGCAATGAAAACTTTGACTTTGTAACTTGAACCACGACAGCGTTTATTTTTTAAAGTTGCAAAGGATTTAGTCTTTATCGAGCAACATGGTAAATAAAACTTTTATCTGATCTTCATCGGGCAGCTCAACGCTTCCATTATACAAATAATATTCCAATTTTGAAATACAATACTACTGTGTAGGCATAAATACTCCGTTATCTTATTTATATTTTGTATATCTTATTTTTACAGTAATTTTATAACATATTATTTAGAAGAGAAATAATTTATTTCATTGCGTAAGTGCCATTCTAACGCGTGCATTATTTATTAAATTACTAATGTAATTCTTTGCCATCTTAAGCATGATATCCCTTTCCGGAATGTCATCTCATCATGCTATGTCTTACGTTTTCAGTCTCGCGAGGAAAATTCACGGAGTAAATTGAAATACGCCATTGACGTCTTTAAGATCTACGATACAATATTCTGTTTTCATTGTCAGTAGAAATTAGAACATTTTCAGATACATATTTTATTCGAATTTATTCAAACTTATTTGCAAAATCACAATACTTAACACCGATTAAATCCAATCTCTAAGTAAGTAATAGATATAACATGTATGAAACACATTATTACGACGACCACGTCAAACAGTCTTAATTGACACCTCGTATTTAGAACACGATGTAGTATTACTCACGTCAGAGAACGTGGTAAGTGTCATCGCCAACATCTTTCCGGCGGTGAGAGTCGCAGGGTATTGAGACATTATGATCGGCATTAATAAATCAATCGCCTTTCTGGATGGCATTCGATACCACTGGATCGTGTAGCAAATAGTTCCCACCTGCTGGCAACGCTCTTTGAGCAAATGTCCAATGTAGCAGAACATGAACACGTTGAAAATGACTGACACGAGTCCGAATAAGTACATAAAAATCTGCACGAACGATTCATTATTATTCATATCCTGAAAGGGAAGCGAGATTAACAATCGCTGCAAGCTTTCTATATTTGTTTAAAATTACTTTAAAGTCTCCATAAAAACTATCTAACATACGGTTATAATAATATAACCCATTAAACATATGTTGCACGAAGCATTCATGAACTCCACGAGACATATCTCGGTAAATAATCTGCTTACGTCAGAAACAAATCTACAAAATTATGTCTAATAAAATTTCGAAAGTTTCATTACAATTTATTCTTAATATAATATATCTGTACCTAATATATTATTATGAATTTATTATTTTCTTGATAATTTATTTATTTATTTTTATACATAATTACTACCAAACGCAATTGTTGTAATAAAAATACTACAGCAAAATCGTCCATATATAAATATTTAGATTACCTTAGCAAACGCAAATGTCGGTTTATCACGGTAGCAATCCGATTGTCGATGGATCCGCTATTGTGTTTACCACCATCTACGAGCTCCTCTAAAAGTGACATTAACACATCACACTGACCGCATACATGTGCAACGAAATTGGCCATCAAGCTGCAAATGCCGCAGAATGCACCATAGGCAGTGAAACCGGACAAAAGTTGTAAGAAGTATACAATCTCGTACACAGGACTAGCCTGATCGACAATACATTAATTTATATATGTCGATTTGGATATATAATTTAGTATAATTGAAACTTAAATGTAATGTTATAATAAAAGAGACAATACAATGATAAACGTATAAAGAGTCTTTAAACAAAAAGCACTGATCAAAATTATGAATCAACGCTGCCAACTCACCCCGCAAGTCGGAATTGAAAGTTTTACCTTAGAATCAAACACAAGAAACTCGCAGGCCGATGGATGCAGTCTTATTGTAACGTTATCCTCATTGACTAAATTTGGTGTGACTATAGGATGTAAATAATACAATATGCCGCAGCTGAACATAAATACCACGGAAGTGATGCCGAAGGTGCGACCGACTCGAGCATTCGCCAACATGATGTCACGATCTTCGGCGATTATCGCGTACTTCCAGTCATTGGCTACGTGATCAATGCAGAACCTGAGACGATCCTGATGCCAAAGCAGCAAAACATATTTCGCAAAAACCATTAAGGTGAAGAGCAGCTCACACATCATATGGATTATCAGGAAGACGTCTCTTTCTTTTATCATGCGCATTATCATCGGTGCAATGACGAAGATCAAGAGGAACATGGCGATTACCATCGATGTCCTGTGTAGAACGATCTTGAACTTCGACTTATCATCATTGAGCGGCCAAGCACCGAATGGCTTCAGTAGACAAATGCTTATTTGAACGGCGTAATAAAAATCCGAAACATGCGATTCGTTCTGCTTTGTTACGTTGACAGCGAGTGTGTTTAGCGTCTTTGCTTGCTTCTGATCAACCATCTCCGACGATATACCGTCACCACCGGCTCTATCGTCACTGTCTCGATCATGCTATTAGGATTACGCGTTTTTCTATCACGAAGCATGCGCGTCTCGTTCGATGAACTCTCCGGTTCGAGCGGTATTAAAGTAACTTTGATAACTCATAATTTGCATTTTTTAATGCACCGGTTAAATTTTACGAAGGGAAAACAGCATGTGTAGTTAGAATAAATCGGAAAGGGGAGAGCGGAGATGGCGGTCAGTGACTTGCCACAACCATGATGTGGTGGAAACTTCTGTTCGAGGATAACTATAAAGTTACTGACAATACGTAATTCTGATTTTTTTTCTCGAAAAATTGTACATGTTAAACTTAAAGTTTTTTTTGCGTAACTTTGTACCGTACTTAAATCTTATATGCTTCGATTTTCTATATTTACGGGAATAGCCACTTCAGGCAATGTTATTGCAAAAAAATTGTTGTGAAATATTGTTTTGTACAGATATTGTTTAAGGTATATATTTTTAATAACTATTCTTTGCAAATCTTTAGATATACAATTTTAAAAACCAATAATAAGAAAATGTTATATTAATAAAAATCTTTTTTTAGAAATAGTGTCATAACAAATTATTCACTATGCCTTACACTGTTTAATATTTGATTTTCTATTACATTTACTTTTTTCACAAAATTGTGATTAAATCCATATTCACAATGTTTTTAAATAGATACTAGTAAATTAAAAACGATTAATAATATATTATGTGTTTAATAATATTTAATTAGGGTATATAGGGATATAAAAATATCTCGACTAATCATTGCATACAAAAAATCAGGTGACTGCACACATGTGTAAAAATATTAATTATTTCACGTAATGTTTAATTTGTTCATTATCAGTTACTTTTTCGAAAAAATTTCTATAACCGCGAAATAATTATTACGATTAAAATACAAATATTTGTGTCTTATATTCTGTAGAACTTTCTTGTATTTTAATATCATCATACGTTGTTTTTTTTTAAATATATAACAAGCGTTATTATCTTTGTATTTATATGTTTGTGTCTTATATTTTGTAGAACTTTCTAATGCGATAGAAAAAAACGTAGTAGAAGACAAAACGATGGAATATTTTATGATGCATCGAGAAACTTTAAAACGGAGGGGATACGATTTCAAAGTAAAACTAATTCTGTTATAAAATTGTAGTTCGTAATTTGAGCGTGTTTCTGCGAAAAGGGAGATTTGTGGTCAAGTGTTTGCATCGTAATATAGATCAATAATAATAGCAAATACTTTACCGTATATACAATAAATAAATATAAAATCGATATAAGATTTTATAAGATCATTATGTAAAATTTAATATTTAAATATTATAAAATCAATATAATTGTAAAGGTATACTAAATTATCAACATTAGTACTGTTATAATGACTGGCTTAGAAAAGATGCTTTAAAAGATATTATTTTAATTGTTAATAAATTAGTAAATTGACTTTACTAAACGATGAGCAATTTACTCATCGCGCATCGTTTCATTCGTAAATGTGATATTAATGAATGCCGCCAAATGATAAATGCGAGCAATAAAAGGGTTAAATATAATATTTTATATTTATGATTTAGTATAGGTAAAGAAGTTAATATATTTTGAGCAGAGCAAGAAATACTTCGAACGTTAATATTTCAATAGATGGCATTTCGAATAACCATTTTTGCAAACAGATCGTTTTACTTTGTAAGCATTCGTATAAAATTCAAATACGCCATCGATGTTTTACATACCTATGAATATTTGCAAACGTTAATCGAACGGTATATTTAATTTTCGGATTGATATAACGGAGGAAATTGCACTTACTTCGCAAAAACTCTGAAGAGAGATATCAAACATTTTAGCAGCTGTCAGAGTCGACGGACGGTTTGATCTGATCATCACCATAATTAAACCATTTACGTTCTTTGTTGGTACCATGTACCAATCGATGGAATATGACACTTCTCCGATCTTTCCACTCTTTAAGAAAATAGTTAACTATAAATCTCGAGCTTACGATTTATTCAAATAAACTAATCAAATTTAATATACTGTTTGACTTAAATTAGAAAAAAATCAATTTATTTTATATTGTTTGACTTAAATATTAATTTAAATTAATTAATTACTTGTTTTAAAATAAATGGATAATAAATTTACCTCTTCTTTAAGACGATCGCCGATAGTCGATAAAGTAAAAACATTTACAAAAATCGAAATGACTAATATAAAATATATAATTACACCAAAAAATTTACTGTCTTCCCACTCCTGAAAAAAATTTGCGCAAATAAATATAATTTGATTTTAAGAATAAATTATCTCTTCAATTGCAAAAATATAAATACCTTGAGAACACCATATTCAAGAAAGCATATGATAATAGTACATAGGATCATTTCTGATAGAAAAACGATATTTAATGAATTTTCAATCATTTCAACATATCTGTAATAGGTATTACATATTATTATAAAATAAAAAATTATTATAGAATAAATATAATTATTATAAATTGAAATAATTGAAAATAATTACACTGAAATATTATATAATAAAAATTATTTGTGCCATTTAGAACAATATTTAGCAAAATTAAAATACAGATTTGTTTACATCAATAAATGTACATTGATATTATTGGCAATACATTTGTTGAAAAATTGTTCTTTTTCAAAACAATTCTTTTTCCGACCTGAGAGCTCGCATGTGGTGCGTGATGATCCAATTGAATCGTTCATGAAGATCATCAATTCCACCAACTAACAATGTTTCCATATGTCTGCGAGCGATCTCGAACAAGCAGCAGGCATGCATCACACAACTGGCGATTAAACTGTAAACACCGCAGTTCGTAGACAAGATCATAGTGCTAAACACGATTTGAACGACGAAGAGAATCTCGTAAAATGGTGAATCTTCCACCACAAAAAAGATATAGTCGCTGAGATAAGGCAGAGGTAAATGAGTCGTGTTGTCCTCCTTAACGACTTTATCCGCCACCAATGGCATAATTATATGATAAGGCAACGCGCCACCATACAATAATACCAAATACATCATCGTGAATTGCCTACCGACTTTGGCGTTCTTTACCATCACCAGTCGATCCTCTTCGCTCTCCACATCCCTGTACTGAATTTCCATCTCCTTCAGGCAGCACTTGATGTCGTTTTTGTTGATGATCATTGTCCAGAACTTGATGATACCCAGCAAACTGAACACCTGAGCGGCTATAACTTTCATGTATCTTGTTAGATCCTCCGCATCAAAAAAAGTATATATGATGTGCGGGACGAGTAAAAAACACATTAAGCAAAATACGATGCTCGTCTGGAAATAGTATTTAATTTTATACATTGTAGAATCATCCCCGTAAAGTGGCCAAATGCCAACAGGCGTCAACAGGATTTTGGCGACTCTTAACACGTACTCCGCGTCGGACCTGTAATTAAAGTTTTGGAATAGCGCGCGATGGTCGGCCGGCGACATGCTCGCGATCATTGTCCTACAATTATTCGCTTCACAAAGTTTGATTCTCGACTGACAACAATAAAGTGGTAGAAGTGGGATCGTTGATCGGATAGCACGCAAGTTAACGTAGGCGCTTGCGTGCAAAAAGTTCGCCTCTCCGAAGCAACTATCAGTAAGGGTTATTTTTCTAAGAACTGTCGCAACTTTCATTGGAAAAAATATACATAATTTCAATGATGATTCTACGCAGGCGTTGAGGCAAGAGGTAGTTGCGAAGACAGAGATTTGCTTCGTTGAGCTGTTGAAAGCAAAAGCGTACAGTGTTCAAAATGGTGAATACATTTCTGTGCTTTACAAAGTGAAATTTAATTCGAAACATTTTCTGTGTGTTTTTAAGTTCAACACTATGATATCAAATGTAAATTGACAATATTTAAACATTATTTACCGCGTTGAATATAGAAATATTGAGTTTTTGAGATATATCAAGAATTTATTGTTAAAGAATTTAGTTGTAATAAGAATTTATTTTTTAAAAAATTAAAAAATTCTTAAACTATTCGAATCAGATGGTGTATCAAATAGTTTTGATAGGAATGCACTTCTGTATGCATCTCTAAAAGTACATTATTGTTTTGTATAGATCTTAATAAGTGATATCATAGGATACTAATAATAAAACGATGTTGATATTTATACATACATTTATATAAATTTTATGATAAATTTAACTAAAGTTTTTCCACTTCAACATTTTCAACAGCACCAGGTCTTTTGTATCTCGGTAAGTTATTTACTGAAATGTTCTTTGCAAGCAAACTCTTGGTAATTTAGGATGATTGTAGAACACGCAGTCTATTATAATACTTACGGTTTATAAAAAATTTAAGAAAAGAAAAAGGTTTTAGATAGAGAAAAATAATGATATACGGCAATAAAAGTTCTAAACAAAGAATATGCATTACATTGGGAAGTTAGTTGTATAACTCAGAAAGCCGACAATTCAAAAAAATTTTTTTCGCAGAAAAACGGAATCGTGGAAAACATATATGTTTGGAAATTACATGACATGTACATATACTATTCAAATTATTGTCAGTAATATGATTTATTGTTCGAGAGAGAAGTGATTGTTTGTCACTGATAATATATAAGAAATAAGATGTAATCTCTCACAAAGTGACGGTAAACAGTATTTTTATATATAAGTACTCGATGCAATAATAGTTAAAAGTTTATGTTGTCATCGCTCGTATAAAATTAAAGTATGCTGCTGATGTTTTACAAACCTGAAACACGCATAATGTATATAGCAAATATTATATTTTTCTCAATTTTTAGATGAACACTACCGCAGCAATTACCTCGCAGAATCCTTGAAGGGAGAGATCAAATATTTTCGCAGCCGTCAAAGTTGACGGGCGGTTTGATCTAAGCATCACCAGAATTAAATCCCTTACAATTTGTGCTGGCAAATCATACCATTTGATAGAATACGATGATTCTCCTACCTTTTCGCTCTTCATAATAGGAACGTATGAACACGAATCGATTAATTCATTATGTTATGTTTATCATATATATTGTTATTGTTATTTAAACTTGAGCGAATTTTATATGAATTTTTCATTTATTTATAAGTACAATAGATACATATTATAACATATTTTAAAATTTAGAAATTATTTAGTATAAATTTGTGAAAATTACCTCTTCTTTAAGACGATCACCGATAGCTGATATAATATAAACATTTACAAATATTGACGTCATTAAAACAAAATATGTACCCATATTTAAGATCTTTCCATCTTCCCATTCCTAAAATAAATTTGCATAAATTTGTAAAATTAAAACGTAGATTTGTAAAATTTTATCCCGTGTTTTATTCTAATAATTTCTATTAACAGAAATACCTTAAGAACGCCAAATTCCAGAAAGCATATAATGATAGTGCAACCAACCATTTCGCATAAAAAAACAATATTTAATGATTTCTCAATCATCTCTGCGAATCTGTAATATATTTTATTATCTATTGAACATAAAAACTGATATGAATTATGAAAACGCGTTTTTCTTTCTTTGTTCTAGTACATAGGTAACTGCATATTACGTGATTTAATTGAAGATATAACGAGGAATTTTACAAAAATATACTAATGCAAGGCGCAAATTAATGGCGCTTTCTCACTTGATGGCCTGCATATGATGCTCGATTACTCTCCCAAATCGCTTGTGGAGATTGTTGATTCCATCGTCGAGAACTGTTTCCATCTGTCTGCGCACGACTTCGAACAAACAGCAACTGTGCATCACACAGGTGGCAATCAAGCTGTAAACACCGCAGTTTGTGGAGAGGATAATGCTGCTGATTAGAATTTGTGAGACAAAGGTGATCTCATAGAACGGCGAGTCTTCCACCACGAAAAAAACGTAGTCGCTAAGATAGGGCAGGGGTATTTGTGTCGTGTTGTCCTCTTTGACGATTCTGTCTGCCAGCAACGGCATAATTATGTGATAAGGTAACGCACCGCCGTATGATAATCCCAAGTACGTCACCGTAAAGAGTCTGCCAATCTTGGCACTCTTCATCATCACCAGCCGATCCTCCTCGCACTCCACGTCCCTATACTGCATTTCCATTTGCTGCAAGCAGTATCTGATTCCTTCTCTGTTAATAATCATTGTCCAGAATTTAATAATGGCAAGTAGGCTGAACACCTGGGCGGCTACAACCTTCATATATCTTGTCAGATCTTCTGCATCGAAGAAGGTATATATAACGTGTGGGATAAGTAGATAGCACATCAATCCGAATATTGCGCTTGTCTGGAGATAATTTTTGATTTTGTCCGACGTGGAATTGCCTCGGTAGAGTGGCCAGATGCCCACCGGTGTTAACAAAGTCTTGGCCACCTTTACCACGTATTCAGTGTCGGTTTTATAATTATGATTTCGAAATAGTGTAAAGTCTTCCATTGACATCGAGTTTGGATTTCTTAGTTCGTTTTTATGTAGAATATATGTATTGACTGTAAATATTTTCAATGACTGATAGACACGAGTAGCATGACCTGCGAGAATCAATCGTGAACGCTTGCGTGCATAATTCACGTCTTTTTGCAACGATTTTTTTGCGACCAATCTGTGAGAATTACGAAAGTTTTAATGGTGAGGAAAACGCATGCAATTTCAGTGACACGCATACAATTTCAACGGCAACGCATGCGCTGTGATAGTGGTAGCTTTGGATTTCCCAAGTCGGAGCTTTATTCTTCCATGTCGTCTGAAGTAGTAAAGAGTTCTTTTCAGAGACGGTGAACGTGAGTAGATTCGTACGAATAAAATATGTTTTTAGCGTATCGAGATTATTCGATAATATTATTATATTTGAATGTAAAATATCCGCTGTATATCTCTACCAAAGTTTGAAGAAATGATATGATATCGCGGATGTAAATTCTTCGTGTACAAGTGCACCAAACAGTGATTCAATTAAAAATCAACTTGACGTATCTATCGATAAGATATCGCATTCTTTTATATATCTTTGCGAAGAGTGGCGATCCGTGTCAATTCGCGCAGTTTGTTAAAGTAATAATCATAGTGAATTCAAAGCGTCAGTAATCTCACCATGCAGCACAAACGAGGTAATAAGTGTTCATCTCTCTCATTGAGATTTACATAAATATCGAAACCCGCTTGTATGAATTTTTACAGGTGCAGTATGGAAGCTACAGGAAAATACGATGACGATGTTCACAGCGGAAGTCATTGGCACAGCAATGCTCTTGTATATCGGTTGTATGGGGAGTGTCGGCAGTATGGGACTCGTACCACCTCCGGCACTGCAAACGGCACTCTCCTTTGGTCTGACGGTGAACTTCATTATTATGGTACGTGTTGTCACATGCCTTAATTGTTTCCGAAATTATTTTATAAGTGTTTTCATTATTTATGTTTTTTATATTTTTTATATAAATGACACGATATGTACTTTTCATTCATGTGCGGTATAAATTTCACAAGTTATAATTAAGCTATAATAAACTTTATACTATAAACTACAAAAAAATATAGGATTATTCGTTATTTATAAGATATGTAAGAACAAAAACATCTTTTTTTGTCATTTATTATAACTGTTGAATTTATGGCAACGGATCATATCTTGTAATTATTGTCATATTGATAAGGATCAAAGCGCATTTGTGGTTTTGTTTATATATATATATATATAAATTTTTTAAATAAGCAGTTAGCAACAATCATCTCGTTTGACTGATCGTAACCCTTATGTATATTTATTTTAAATTATAAATTATATTATATTTCTTATTATATAAACTTGCAACATTGATGTAGTTAAATTTTTTTATAAGATTTTATGAGAAATATATAGTTTTATAAAACGTATTTAAAAAAATGTACTTTATCGTATTTTCGTGTTCAAAATTTCATTTACTGATATTTTTTTAGACGATAGGTCACATAAGTGGTGCTCATCTGAATCCAGCTATCACTATCGGTGCTGTCATTATAGGATTGAAATCAATTCCGACCGGCGTGGTTTACTTCTTGGGACAGTTGATCGGTGCCATCGTGGGATATGGAATGTTAAAAGTGCTACTTTATTATTATCTGTTTTATTATATTTTTTGTTATTGTTAATGTATATTGGACACATTTATCACAAACAATGATCTGTATTTCCGTAGTTGCTAACACCGGCGGAATTGTTTAACGACGGAAACTCTTACTCGGATGTCGGCGTATGCGTCACCGTTGTTCATCCAGGAATTAGTAGCGTGCAAGGTTTATTAACTGAGATATTTTGCACGTGTTTCCTAGTTTGCGCAGCTTGTGCCACGTGGGATCCTCGATGCTCTCACCTTACGGATTCAGTCGCCCTCAAGTTCGGCTTTTCAGTCACTGTCCTTTCTTTTACAGCGGTAAAACTATTTTTAACAACATAATTCTTATGTTTTTTCATTATTAAAATTATTATTAAGTATTTCAAAACATTAATTATTATTATGTCTTACATTTTTATATATTACTGCTCAGAAATACCATGTATTCTGCGTAGCTCGGTAATTTTTAACAAAATTTATCATTATATAGATAAAATTTTATAAAAAAAGAAAGTAACAAAATACATAAAAATAATCAAAATAATTTTTTACAATAAAATAAAGAATTGAATAATTTATTCTTTTCAATTCTTTCAGGGTCCTTATACCGGATGTAGTATGAATCCAGTACGATCATTTGCACCTGCACTTTGGACTGGTAATTGGAAGGATCACTGGGTAAGTTAAAAATAAAAATTCGTTATATGTCATAATGTAGATAAAAATAAGAACAAAAATTTATTTTCATACCAAGAGTCTCCGATTTCATATTAATATTATGAAAATATTGATTACATTTAAAAATTGACTACAATAATAATGTCTTTATTTTTTACTTAATCGGATTATGTGCACGAAGTGCGATTGCCGTTAATGAGCTTTTAATCAATTGTGGAAATTTCTATACAACTACATATCACTATTTTGTAATATATATACTTTGTGATATACTTTGCGCAATAACAACTAACGTGTAAACCACTCAACTGTAGCACACATAACAAAATTATCTTTAATGATATATCAGCTTATTTGAACATCACGTATCAAAGATTTATCTTTTAATTCAATGGTATTCTGAGATTAAAAACAATGTTATTATTACAATTTATCATATAAGAGTGAAATGTATTTCTAAACAGTAGTTAATATATAAACTATAAAAGTTTTTTATTGTTAATTTAATTTTTTCTTAAACTTCTATCAGTTAATTTTTGTTTGTTTAATTAGATTTATTGGGTTGGTCCTATTTTGGGAGCCTTACTTGGAACATTTGTTTATCAATTGTTGTTTGCAGAAACAAAACCAATCAGAAAAAAATCTATTTGTTTAACTGATAAGTCTGTTACCGTATTGTCACAGTCAAATAATGTTATGTAATATAAGTAAAATAAAGATTTTTAACAATTTATTATACATATACATTTTTTATAAATAAAACTGTACAATAATATCCAAATTTGCAATATTTTACATGATAAACAATTATAATTATTTATTACAAATATTATGCTTACTTTCTTTGAATTATCATCTATTGGTCATGTTTCCTCAAAGTAACTTCGAGTTTTACTAGATGGCAGATGTAACTCAACGATAATCTAAATATTTTGTACAATAAAACTTTCTTATTTATTTATTATTAATTAAGAATTAAAAATTGTTGAATAATTATTCTTTTTAATATGATATAATCGATTTTAACTATTTTTAAAATTTCTTTTAATATTTATAAAAATAATTTTCTATTAATATTAATCCATAATCATACGAAGAGATTAATAATATAATGTAGATATGGTAATTATATTTAACACAAAAAGGTTTATTAAATAAAGAAAATATTTTCAATAACCGTTTAATATCATGTATATTGTAGTACATGAATCAACTGTAGACAAAGAAGATCTACGCCATGTAAATTGCGCAGCTTCTATTATATTATTTCGTCAGAAAAAACATTGATAAATATATAAATTTTTGACATAATTTTTCTAATTCCTTCAATAATACGTTTATCATGTTTGAAGATATAATTCTCTCTTTGCCATTTAAAAATAGAATACATTATCCTAGTAGGTGAAATTTAATATGGCCAAAGTGCAGATTGGATACTTTTAGAATATTAAAGATCCCACACACACGCTGAGTTCTAAATTATTTTTATACCTTTATTGTTAGAACTATGTTTCTTCTCTCAGAACAGAGATTTAAAAGTTGAACCTTATTAGAGCTTACATACATATACAGGTATATGCCTACATATATTTTCGACTTTCTCTGTAACATTTGGCTTTCTGTTTTGAAATAAATAAGAATACAATTCATTATGTTAATATATATTATTATTACTATTATTATTATAAATTCTATAATATGTAAGATAATGATTTCACAAAGTGATAATAAAGAATTCGAATATCCTTCGAATCTATCTGTTATTATGTTTGGATACAAACGTATTTGTGTATTTGTAAATAATAATCAGCATATAAAAATTCTCTTATTAATTATATATTAGTCTAAACTATTCATTTTTAATTAACATATGTAGTGTTACATAATAGTATATTTTGCGAATAAAGGTCTCCGACAGTTCGCACAACAATCCTGATTCCTCATGGCAACTCGTAGGATTGCGTAATTTCGCTGTAATGTGAGTACGTCGAATTTGCACCGGCCGGCCGGGCAAAACATCGTACATATAAGGTTCATCAACCTTCACCCAGCGACACACTCTCGCTGGCTGGGACTTGGTCACGGATGCGATCGATAACAGGGCGTTTCGTCGACGTTTCGAGAAACTCGCGCCCCAGGCTGCACACACACCTGCGTGCAACCCGGGGCTTGAAAACGCCCATGTAGCCCCCGTGGAAAAGGTATGTCTACTTGCAGCATTGTCATGCCACAAGTGTCACAGGGCAGATCGTTGCAAACCGGCTGCCCACTCGACCGGTTGGCCGACTCCGCGCGACCGGAATTCAACATTTTGAGATCCAAGCCCGTCAGTGTATCTCGACCCGGCTGCAACATCATCCTCGACGTGATTGCTGAGTTCAAGGTCGTGTAATACCGGCGAGGCAACTAAAATTAGTCCAACGGACAGGTTACCTATGCGCTCGGAGAAGCACAACGTCGCGGACAAGAGTTCGTTATTTATGTAGCGACTTGATGAGAGTAAACCGCGGTGCTCCGCGACGAGTGGAAAATTTTACAGTGAGAGCTTTGAGGGAGAGAATATTGCGACGCAGCGTTCTTTCTTTTCCCTCTCGCTGTAGATCGAAGTACTGCGCGGCACGATTAGGGTGGGGCAAATTTTGTTCCATATTGTGTAATAGACATTCACCCTTGCATGAAGATGCATTATCCTGACTGCGCAGTGAAGTCTAAACAACTTATTAGATTTAATATAGATGAGGATACGAGGGAAACTATCTAACTTTACACAAAGCTATATATTTATTCTTCCACATTGTAAGCTGTATATCTTGCTGAAAAAAAAACTTGAGATGTACGATTATTATAGTATAAAGTTGCTATAATTTACACGAAGATATCAATATCAGTCACAAGAATTATAGTATAGATTTTTTTTATAATTTGCAACAAAGAGTAGTGTATGGTTATATTAAACTTTATTGTATAATTCCTGTTTTTCTCACTGACAATACAATCATGCAAAGGGAAATAATGGATGAAATGTATAATCAATGAATTTATTTTGCTGGATCGGAGACAGCGAACATTTGCGCATTTTCTATACGTTATATCTATAACTCACTTCGTGCATCTATCGATTAGCTGCTGCAGCTGAACCTCGAATGTTCTGGAACACGATGGAAACACCTAAACTGCGATGTCTGTGCTTATAACGATTTGTTAAAATAGCTGATAAAATTCTTTTCTATTTACTAAAATCTTGAATTTTTCAGATAAAAACGCAGCCATTGACTCATAAACAGCCTACTATATATATATAAAAAAGGATTTTAAGGGCCTATTTTGTAACTCTTAACGATTGTAACTATAACGTTACAGTATTGCGCAGCTTTTTTATTGTATACAAAACTTGCGCAACGATACTATAACGCTACAATTACAGTTGTTAAGAGTTAAAGAATAAGCTCCTTAATTATAATTTCTCGCTCAACAATATAACTGTAATATAACACGTGTGTTATATTAATATAATAGTTCTTAAATATATAGGAAATTATAATTAACAATATATTATACAATATATAATTAAAGAAAGAGAGTTTAACGTTATTCTAGATATATACTTGGTATTTATTGTTTGAATTTTTTGCAGAGCTCTATCACCTCCTGGAAACCACGCACAATCAGTATGTAAAACCACATAAAAATCACAGTTACTTTGCCGTATCGCTCGTTCTATATTTATTTTCAAGCAAAATGCGCTGAATAATGAATTTAAACTAGAATATTCGAATGTATATATCAAATTATACACGAAATTTCTGAACTGTAAATGCATTTACTTTTAATTAACTGTTTTCTTGAGAATTTCTTGAGATTAAAAAAAAATATGCTCTTGATTTTTTAACTATAGTTTATATTTCTATTAATAAGTCAATTTGTTCCAGTGACCTGTTAAGAACGGAAAAGAAGATACATCGACAAGAACATGTACTAATTGAGAGTAGGTTTGTCAGCGACATTCTCCCTAACTGTACACCATCTTCGTTTTGACAAGATCGTCTAGCCAAGATCGGTGAAAAGAGAAATGCGTCGTTGAGAAAGTTCCCACAGATCATCACGCCGTTCCCATTTAATGCAACATAGTTGGTAACCGTCTACCTTTGCATTTCATTACGCCGCTCTGAATGACACCTGAATGTAACGAGGTATCGCGCATCACATTGTGCATATTTCTATAAAGTATATACAAGTAGTTTCGTTCACCCTTTCACTCGAGCCTAATCCGCTGGCCGTTGTTAACGGCCAACAAAAAGACGATCTCGCAGGGAGAGATAAGTATCTCTGGCGCGCGCACGACCCTCATATATTTCTGAATAAAATTGCATTAATTGCGTCTACTTAAAAAGGAGCGTCCTTTGTGATACGTCCGGGCCGGGCTAACGAGCGATATGAAAAGGAAATCGATAGAGCGGTACATGATACACCGAAAGAGGAACGAACGTAATATTATGCAACCCGGTTGTAACGCCGCTTATTATACGCCGTTACCCGACGGTCGCGTATCATCGAAGCCGTTGCAATCTCTAATGCGAGAGCGCGAAGAATCATTTATCTTCTTATCTTTTTTTTCTCTTCTATGATTACACGTCTTCTAGGCGAAGATCGTCTCCGCGACCTACATTCGAACGCAACGACGCGAATTATGTTGATGGCGTTATATTACGTAATATTTGCGTCTCTGATTGTCGCCGGCGATTTCGTGTTTACATCGAAATTGTTCATTCTCACGCTATCGGCCGTGCCACGCGTGAGTCAACTTGCGTGAATTGTCATGTGTGTTTGCAAATACGCATTGCCGGCTGGGTCTCGACCGCGCCTCAAAATCTCATAAAAATAGCTATCGTTCGCCTCAAGAGCTGATAAAAAAAACTACGTCGGAACGGCAGCAAGGTCACTTCGAGCTGCCTGCGCAGTACGGAAATCCCACCACGCGAATACTTTCTGGCCAAAGAAACTACGTTTCGATGTTTTAGCGTAGTATACACACGCAATTTCGCAATGTTGGGTCACGACGCATGGCGCCGTCCCTCCTTCCTTCCCTACAAATTAACATTCGTTTACAAAATTGTCGAAAACTATCTTTTAATCTGTCCTGACAATCCTGACGGCAACAAGTCTCTCTCTCTCTCTCTCTCTCTTTCTCTCTCTCTCGCGATAACAGAATCCTCATTATCGCACGTTATAGAATACGAATTTCGTCACAGATAGACCGGCCTCCTCCGGTCAACATAAATCAATCATCCTCTGATGCGAATATAATTCCTTCCGGAGTAATAATTCGGACGAGGTTTATCCCAAGGTTATTCGACGCAAGTAGGTCTTCGATAGTAATTTTGCTACGCAGTAGGGTCCATGATCGTTTTTCTTAATCCGATTCTCCCGCAGGTTTCACCGTCGAGAGATACAAAACAAATCGACGTGTACTATACAGTCACACGAAGCAGCCGAGAAGGCAACGCTACATTATACAAGCGGTGTTATATCATACACCGGTTGACCGTGCTAATGGTGCGGGGGTGAACAGGGGGAACGGCGGAGTTCTGTGTGGGTTGGGTGATATGGTGGGGCCTCTCTGGCTGAGCTGAGCGAACGTGCCAGAAATCCCGTCGTCCCTGCTGGCCGGGGACCGATCAATACTTTGCATTTGCGAATTTTTCGCATATGACGTGAAATAAATATATCGTATGACATACCAATCGATAGATTTCGTCGCAACGATATCAATGATTGTGGTCCCGGACGGGACCAAGCATCGCTAAGACCTGAAACAATCGGTTGTATGGAATTGCGCATTATGTGACGACGCGGAGTAAGGACGCGGTGATCTCGAAGCTTCCTCCGTTTTGCGGCGACGCGGCGCGTACCTATATAAAGCGGCCGGCCGGCCAGCCGCGGCGCATTCGTAAACAAACCCTGGTTCAGTTCGGACGCTGCGAACACCCGAAGACCCCCTTCACCCTTCATCATCAGTGTAACACACTTCGGCTTCTTACTTCGTCCAGACCGCCGGCACGGGAAAATGTAGGCGAGCGGGCACCAGGTGCGGAGCGCGACAGTTTACCGTAGGTATTTCTTTCTTTTATTTTGCTGACCTCTCCAACGCGATCGTTTAATCCATTGATTTAATTAAATATAGTATATTGTATTTTATCACGGTAGTTTTATTATTATAAGACTGAAGATGGGGATAAGAGGAAAATAATTCATTTTGTTATATAGGCAGTGCAATTGGAAAATAGTAATATCAAGGAAGATGAGCGTACAAAACTGTCATGCTTAACACTTTGGTATTTCTTCTTTTTAATTAACAACGTCTAAATAGCAGTTACACACACATATAAATTATATTATTTGCTATTAGACTCAATATCTTTTGTTAAGACAATTTTAATGCAGGTTTACCTCTTGGAGATCTATTAATTACTTCTCTATTTAAACTAATATTGGAAAGAGACAAAGAGAGAGAGAGAGAGAATCGGTTTAATTAAATCAAAACTAAAATTATCTCGCTTGATAAAGTTATTAGATAATTTTGATATATTAGAAATTTTAATAAACTGAAACTTTACATAATTGATATCAAACGATATAAGACAAAATATATTTATATTGTACCATACATTAAAAACTAAATCTTTGTGAAATAAGTATTAGAGAATTATTACATATGGCATAATTTTGTTATACTACAAAATTGTTTTATCATTACTAGAATCGAGAAAGTAAAAGAATTAAGTAAATGTCGGAATGAAAGTTTTGAACAATAAATTCTTCAATTGACGATAGTGGTGGTAGTAGTGGTAGTATTAGCGGTAGTAGTAGCAGCAGTTGTTTCGACGGGAACCGGCCTGGCAGCTGGTATTCCCGTTTGAACAACGCTGATGACTCTTTCTGTGCCAGCCGGCGTCACGTTCTGAAAATGTAAAATAAACATTGGTCACGTTACTCGATAAACGAATTATGATAACTATGTGTATTTATGTTTTTAGTGCACCCTACGGGGTCGGTGCTTGAACAATCCGTACACGACGATAACAGCTGTGATTAGGATTTGAAATTCCTTCACGCTTTGAATAAATATGAGACGAGAACTTCAAGATATAGGTAAGCACATAAGGTGTCCAGACACGATAATATATTATACATTAAGATAATCCTGATTATGTTTATGGACGATGAATTAAAAGAGTTAAAAATACGTTAATTATAGTGCGCGAGGCATATAAGGTGAATTACGAATACGGCTCCGAACTATTTTTATGCTGACAATAAAACAAAAGGCTTTGCCCAATAAAAAACTTAATTTTTACACCTCACAGCAAAAGAATTATAAGTTTACTATCAAAATTTAAATGAAGCTGTTTAAAATAATTCTACATTGTAATATATTTGCAATCATATTCATTTTGATAGTACTTGACAGCGTCTAAAACATAAGAAAGATGATATAAATAAGAAAAAAAAGATCAATAAATTATGTGTCAATAATGATAAATTGATCGATATCGATCGATATCGATAAATCGATAAATTCTATAATCGATAAATTCTAATCAATATGATAAATTAAAAATGTATTATGTGTCTAATGAGGAACACTCGATTGTCGGCTAACTGTATCGATTTTAACAGAATTCAATTTTTGAAACTCACCGAAAATGCAATTGCTTTTAAATTTGAGAATGTTAAGGGACTAAGTATCGAGATGAGAACACTGTTCAACGTGTCATCATCCTCTCCTTATGATAGTTTATTGTTTCGCTCTTGCATTGGTATCGCCGAGTTTCAGGAACTTCCTTCCTAAAATCGACACACGCTGATCTAATATCGCGAATGTGCCTCGTTCACACACAAAGGCTATATTTTAAATTCCATATGTTAACGAGACATATTTTGTTTTGTAGTTTAGAGCAGACTCGTAGTGTTTGATCCAAAACCGTCGGCACCATCTGCCTCCTCTGTACTGCACACTGAGGCGCAGCATTGGAAACGTCGGAATTGAAAAGCAAAAGTCAAATATGTAACGTAAGCTGCACAAGTTATAACAAAGACGAGAGAGGAGAGAAAGAGCGAGAGGAGGGGGGGGAGAGAGGGAGAGGAAGGAGGGGGGGGG